GATAACAAGAATCAGCCGTCGTTTTCATATGAAATTAATCAACCAACATCTTCATCCTGCACTTTTATACAAAATCAGTCTTTAAAACAATAGGTCTCAATATACAATTTTGGCGTGGAATGCCTTCGCCTAGACTACTAATTTTTATCAACTTGTCTTCCCTTCGTATATATGTATAATCTATGGACTCTTTCATAAATTGGATTCGTTGAGATCTAACTATAACCTTACAAAGTTTAACGTTAGTTTATTTTACATTAATAAACACTTCTCTAAGAAGGAATATGGTGAACTTACCACTAATTCATCAATTCGTCAAGTTTAAATTTCGGGTAAGAGCTATTGTGTCAATGCGGAATGTCTCAGCAACCTTAATTCACCTTACATCATGATGTACCCCTACATTTATTTTTCTTTCAATGATATCAGATCTTTTCAAATATTCTAACATGTCCAAAAATTGTATTATTTTAAATCAGTCTTTGCTACGTATCTATGCCGTACCTGATAACGCTTTTGACGAAAAGGAAGCGGAGGGTGACGATGAAGAAGAGGTGACATTGTTGTCGGAGCATCTAAAACCGACTGTCAATATTCCGGCTGTCAACAATACTGTTGGAACCAGGCTAACTATCGGAGCCTCGAGCTCTCGTGGAGATTCAGACGATCCGGCTCGTCTAACCATTGAGGCGGAAAAATCTGGTTCCGAAAAGCCTACAGACGTGTCCTCTTGACAATATCTTTTTATATACACCAAGAAGGCACAATCCTTCTCAACCTCTTTTGTTCTTTACTATCTATAGACTTCGAACTGTTCATATTTCAGCCCATTGCGAACAAGAGCACACCTTTGCTAGGCTCCTCATTTCAGTAGCGAATAGGCATACACCTAAGGAAATGCTGAAGCAGTGAATGGGAGTAATTAGGAAATAAGCATCAACAGAAGCTGAGGAGGATTTCTCTGGAGTTATAACAGAAGATTTATTTGAATAAGTCACGATGCATCGTCTCTGATCCCTGATAAATCTTTGTGCAGCTTTCGTCTATCACTGGACGGATATCGTCAGTGTAGGGAATCATACCTTACGAAAAATCACCTAGCGCTAAGACAAGAAATGTGTTTGGTTGCGAGCGTACCTACTTTTCAGCCTATTTTGACCACTTATTAAGACATTCCAGGATTTTTTTGGCTATTCTCTGTTTTTCACATGCGTTTGCGGAAAAGAGAAGTCGCCGCGGATGGCGAATAAAGTGGATGCAATTTTGCCTAAACATCTAATCCATTGCAATGTTGATGTAAATGCCTACTCTTATGCATGTGTGGTGTGCATGCAATGCCTATGAATTGTGTAGGATGTGGCATTATTTGCCAGCTTCGAGGCTATTAAAGCCTCCCTTTGCTCACCTCCCTCTCTCGTATTCAACTTCGACAAGTAGTTTTTGCTTAATTTCCAACACTCGTTCCTTCTAATCAGGCTGTCGGACGTTTTTTCTTGTTTAGATTCCTTAGTTTTCCGTTTATTTTTATAATCCTTGTATCCTGCCCGGCGTTTTGTGTTAGACCAGTCTATCTGGTTCCATGTGTTTGGCCCGTTCTCATTTCTGGACTTACAAATCTTTTAACTATTATTTGTCTTCAGATGACTTCTTATATATGGATCGGCAATTCTCCCCACATAAACATCAAATGGACATTAAGAGACTGATCTAGTAGCTAGTCCGAGGTTCCCCT